TTTCCGGTTGAAGGAAGAAAGCCAGCATGTCAAGAAGTTTAACCTACAAATAGAGGGGAATGCATTAACAAATAAGGGATTGTCTCACAACTTTCAAAAAAAATAATTTGTAAATTTTACTTTGGTGGGAACTTTCAAAGCCTCTGTTTCAAGAAGGTTCAAATAGGTCGTCACAAATGTGTTTCGATCGAGTTCCTGCAAAAGTCAAAAAAACCACCTAATTCAATTTTGTGGAGTGATACTTTCAGAGGTGATGAAACGTAGACTTCAAGCGTCTGACTGAATGAAGGTTTAGCAAATTTTAGTATTGTAGCTGGTAGTATTAAAAGACCCACGACAGGTTTTATCGATAAAATAAAATGCTTAGATAAATTAAAACTTTTCCAAAAAGCATCCCCTTCCGACTTGTTGGTATATAAAGCAAATGTCATACAGGTTTTGCCAAGTGAAGAGCAACTTTGCGCTTTCTTTGCTAGAAAAAAGCTGATCACGGAAATGGGTGAACGCTTGCCTATAACTAGTCCTCAGTTTTTACCTTTGTTAACTTATTAACATCAGTAGGTAATGGCAACTAGAGGTTTGCCATCGAAAGGGAAATTATCGCTTCATTAATAAGACGTTTTTGAGAATACTACTCAGTTGGTCTCAGTAGAGACCTCACAACAAAAGGATTAAAAACTCACCACTTGCGAGGTAGAAATAACAGCTTCAAGAAGATCAACACAGACCTCCTTATCGAAATCGCTGTTTTGCAAACAGGGCTCGATATGTCGATGCCATGCGTTAGCGATCCCATTGCACAATTGGTTCGTTTTACTTCTAAACCGGCGCATTGAGTAATGCGATGGAAAGGGTGCAATCGCGGTCATCCAATCAACTTACCTATTAGGTTCCCTAGAGTATATGCCCATGGATTTGAGTAGAATAGACAAGGTTGTGTTTGGAGCATTGGCTTGCACGGCATCCTCTTCATTGAGTCCCAATATAGTTAGGAGATTGGCTGGGTAGATCAAGCACTGATTTGACTCATTAATTGACCTTAAAAGCACCTCCGCATCAAATGATATCTACAACACGAGCAATGTTACCTCTTCAATAGAGAACTCACTTGATATTTTAAACAGGATGCGATAGAGAATGCAACTTGGACATTTTCAGCCAGCTTGTTTGATGAGCCTAGTGTGCTCTAAAGAATAATCAGCAATCGGTGCCAATCGCCTTGCCTTTTTAAAAATGTCGATTATACGTTCGCACATTTGAGGAGAAAAGTAGTTAGAAAAAAAGTCGCGAAAACCGAGATCCTTCTTGATGGTGATAAGGAATAGTGATACGTTAGAAAGGATTTCTATCAGGTCAGAAAACTGCTTAGAATCGGCAAAAATATTCGTCTCGTTTTCTCGAAAAAGTCTAGGTTTAAATGTAAACAAATGAAAGGGGCAAACTTATGCGGCTCAAGTAATCGAGGCATTTTATTCATGGTCCAAGCTAGACACTTTTTTGGCAGCAATCTCAGCACCTCAGCGGCCTATAGGTGATTGGTAAAATGAATCAGCACATCACCTTATCAATCAATCGGGCGTCAGTGGCTATGGGTCTCAAGAGGATTCGACCAAGAAAACTCCATACAGTGTGGTCCTCAGAAAACACACTTCCCAATTCCACTCTCAGTTTTGAATGAAGTAAGGAGAGTAAGAAATTCATAATTGCGGTCGCTTCATCTTGACCCATACTTAAGAAAGTGAGATATGAAAATTAAAGGAATTACTTCTCTTCAGATCCACAGTAGCGCTTCACAAGTGTGATAATTCGGCTTTCGGGAAGTTGAATTGCTTCAACAAAAGTCGTGGTGGCCACAAGGTTAGCCGAAAGCAGCCACGTGTAGTTATCGAGACAGCGAAGAAAGCCACTCAGCGAATCCAAGTTGCATTCGAATCTGCGAAGAAATGGAAAATTATGTCGATCCAAAATAAAATATCAATCATACGTTGATAAGAGAAAACCCGTATCAGGAAGTATTTTTGGAATTAGGTGCAAGTTAGACGCTGAGATAACTTGCTCCACAAGTTTCTGGAACAATTTCCCGTTGAGAGGGTCACGACAAGCCATCAGTAAGGCTTTTAAGCAGGAAGTGACAGAAGCTGCTTCCCAGGAGGTTGGTTTAAGCGATTCCACTATGGGTGTGCTTTTGCCAACCCGTGTCAAACGAGGCTGTTTTTCACGGGTTGTCCAGTCTTCAAATATCAAACCATCTGGCGATTCTTTTAACAATTCTATTAGCAATCCGACTGCTCGTTTTACAGCGGCTGAGGTGGAGCTTTGATTCGGTGCTAAAGAAGACTAAGAGAAATTGTAGCAAACCTGATAGAAGGGACCGCTTGAAGGTATCGATGAGAAGATAGACATACCGAAAGCACATCTCCGGCCGAGCACTAAAAAACAAATTTTTGAATAGATCAAAACAGATTTTGAATAACGGCACCTTAGGAGATTGGCTACAGTATCGGTGAAAACTTGAGTTGCAGCTCCAACTTGACACAGACCATCCAACGTTAACTGAAGCAGATCCTCAAATGTTTGGTTGCCGATAGAAGTACGACGTCTCTTAGTGCCTGTGGCCTCGAAACACATCCACTTCAGGAAGTCCTGAAGACAGGCAGAGGCCAGTTGTGTCCGTCTTGTTTGGATCAACTCTAGTGCAGAATTGAGTGAATCAGAAAAGTTGCCCTACCAGGAAGGGGCCACTGTGAGTCGATAAAGCCACAAATATCATCTTCTGGTGGTGTAAGATTTAGAATGCGTAGAATCACTTTCTGCAAAAGCTTAGCTTCACACAAACCTGCCATTCGATAGCCCGCGAACCAATGAACCAATTGGAAAATGAGGCAACGAAAGAGACAGGAAATTAACTGCAGATAATTTTATATGTAAGATTTTACTTGATCGGTGTCCGCTCCCAGAATGAATGAAATATGAAAGAGGAGAGTCCAATACGCAGAGTCACTCTCCTCTATCGGATCACTGGGATCTGAGGACATTTCACGCTGCTTGATGAGTCCAAAAACTATATACTCGTGTAAGTATTCTGCCGCCGATACTCTCGCTTGTCGAGAAACACTAGTACTGTCTAGAGGCAGAGAAAGGATTCAAAGATGATAATACTTTGATTGGTTGATCTGGTAGTGGACTTGGGTCTACACAGGAGGATACCAAGGAGTCGTGCAAATAATTGCACATCAGAAAGCCGCATGTATGGTCTCAAATCTGGAAAAGGCAAGCATATTGTCAAACCATTAAAAACGCCCCTTCCTGGAGGTAGAATATTTCCGAAAATGGTTCCATCTTCATGAGGTTTTTCATTCTACAATGGTCAATTTGAACCAAAACTGACAACCAACCAAATTTAGAAGTTTCCAATAGTTTGCATTCCGACCAATGAGTTCAATAACCCGCATTTGCGCCTTGCTGAGAGTTGAATCACAATATAGTCGACTTTGGCATCTAGCGATTGTCCACAACTTCCGACGGACCTGAACCGCATTTTTTAAACTCCGTGAACGCTGACTAATTGGAGGCGGCAGCGCCTTATCCCTGATAGGTCTATTTTGCTGGACTTCAAGTAGACTAGCTAATGCTGGCATAAGACTCCCAAACGCCATTGCATAGAATGGGGAGTTGGGTTCGATCTCTGTTAGAAGAAAGAAAAAAAATAATGAGAAATAGGATTGAGAGTAAGTGTAATTTTGACGTAACGACTAACCACTCAACCAGGATTCAACAGCGGAGACTGCAGCGTTTGCCAGATCCACACAGCGAACTTGCGATCCCGCTAATTGACAGGCAAAGCTGATGACATGAGCGAATTGTTTAAGAACTCGGTCTTCAGAGTGAAGGGAGAAGACTGCGAGAGGCAAACCGAGGAGACAAGAGCAGCGAGAAGTACTGAAGTCATCAGCGGACAGGGCTCCTGTTGATGGAAATGCCTCCAGCAACGAGGTTGCAAATGATCTTAGGTGAATTAGAACGGTGGAGCTGTGGTGCTCTATTCCACAAAAAAAAAAAACAATCAAAAGACTGTACAGCAGATGATTGTAGAACAAAAAGGAAGTTTGCAGCCTCCACGTGAATTATCGGTTGGTATCTTTGACGCCTCGCAATCAAGCAGGTTCGATAAGGTCAAGCTACTGTTGAACGATTGTCACGAGATATTTTGTACTCTTATAATTTAATCCTCTTTTATTTGACCTGTAAAATGCATTCATACAGATGAAAACACTTGGTGGTATCCATTGCAGAACTGGAGAAAGGTATGATTTAGCTACATGCAGCTGACACTAGCAAATTACCGGTACAAATAGCTAAAGATAAGTGACCTCACTAGTCACTTTTACCCTCATCAATTCACCAGGCAAGACTGGAGAACTGAAAAGCGCATGGTTATTTTGTAAAAATTATCAATAATTGCGTTTATCTGAGTACTTAGGAATCCCATTGGTCGACCATTTACCCTCCCATCGAAGTACGGAGATGAGGCAAAGTATGTTTCTCCCGGAAAGAACAAATTAACCATCCCTAGTGAGCATAAACGGAATTAATCTATATTTTTAGACGGACACCGAATGTCTTTGCTACTAAAGGAATTTCCATAGCGTTGATTGACCAAAAGGACTGTCCAGGAGTGTTACATTAGCGACCTTATGGAACTAGACCTTAAAACTATTGCAAGAAAGTATCGAAAGTGCTCGAAAGTGTTTGAAAGAACACTACGTGGGCGACGAAACTACAGCGTTTTCAATGTTCGCCTGTCTGTGTCTGCAAGGTACTACAAGAAGAGCTTTGAGACAAAGATACCGACGATGGCCATACACGTGTCTTCCTTCTTACTCCAATGGAAATCAACTTCTATATTGCAGCCTTCCACAAGAGGGTTGCCAAAAACGGCGGATACAGAGAGCACTGGATTATCTGTTACCGCCATATTCATGGGGAATAAAAAGGAAATCCAGGGATTGATCTGAGAACACAGGGGATATCAGTTAAAAGTGGCTCAGCATCGCCACTCGTAGTCAGTTAGACATAATTATTTCCAGTTTCGTAGTAAAGAAAACCCCTGATAATACCAAAATTGTAAAAAAAAATTGAGCATTCCAAATAGAAAGCTGGTGGTTCATCAGCAGTAGTGACGTATGCCATGCCTGAAACAGTGGCAGACGTACCTTCGAAAAGGCCTGACCGCTTAGCCAGTAGGACGGAGAGTTTTAGAAGACGGTAGAGACCACTAAGCAGAGGGTATCTAAAACGAGTGGAAACCAAAAAAATCCCTGATTGTGCACCCAAGTTTGACCGTTTTCACATGAGAACCAGGTGAATGTAATGTGACGTGAACAGCATTGGTCTGCTGGTGATCTTCAGAGACTTCGTGAGGTGTGACAAATCAAGAATCCGGAGATTCAATGGGCACAGTGGAAGATTGTGTAGCACAAGCAATTACAATTACACATATAAGTGACAGCACCTCAGCAGTGGAAAATATGTGCAGATTAGGTAAGGCAATAAATAATGTGGTTTCGCTTTAAGCCATTTACGACTTCTGACTTCTTTCTTCCAATGCGTTATTTGCAAAACCCATCACCATTGTGCAAAAAAATAAAAACAAGTACTTGTCCAGCACCACAATACATTAAGGTTGCGTTACGCCACCTCCAATCAGGTCGATTTACGTGCCAAAAATTCTAACAGTTCCCAAAAAAAGCCTTTCAATGTTTCGTTGTAACATAAAGAAGTGTTGTAGAGCAAGGGATTTGGGCTGGGTTTAAGTGTTCTGTAAGTAGTTTGAGCGTTTATTCATGCAAAAAGGGGCGTTGCTGTTTCGTGATTAACATTAAATAGTGCTGTGTTGGAAAAGTTTGATTTAGAGACTACTCACTTTTCCACGAGTTCAAGGCAGATTTGCAAGAAGGAAGTCACAAGGTCATCGTGGGTGGCGACCGAACAGTCCGGCAAAATTTCTCTATTCGATAAGTTAGAATAAAATAACAGAACTGAAATGTTGCTCGCTAAGGACATTAAGGAAGGATAAAACAGGAAGAACTAGCCGAACAGGAGAGAGAATTCAAGGCTGACGGTTTGATTAAAGTTCCACATTATTTTTAAATGAATGCAAGTGTCAAGGTGGAGTTGAATTCATACTGATTTCATAGAAATCAATAGCTTTACCACCCACAGAAGTCTGAGATGACCGCTTCTTATGCGGTTACTCGAATTTGGGTCTGTTAGGCATTAAATTCATTCGCGGCAAACAGGTTTGAAGCAAGTTAACCTACTCAAAAAATGCGGTCATGTTTGAAAGGAGGAGGACATCCTGAGGGATTTTGACAACCACCTGCGATTCCATCTCAGCAGTGTTCATACTGCACTCTGTATAGGAGAAATCAAGGCGCTTCAAAATCGTCAAGGAGGATGTCAGGAGGAGTCGGAATATGAGAGGAGAGGGGTCTGTGGTGCCTCGAGAATATCTCTCCTAAAAAATATATTTGCATATATCCTAAGTACCTACTAAGCCTTATTTTATGAATAACTTAAAGTTCTTTGGACGTCGCAAGGAGCTTTGGGGTAGGAGATGCCCAAGCTCATCATGTGCCAAGGTGAAAGTCTGATCAGTCACTTTTGGTACAAATTTGGTTTGGATACAAAAATAACGCGGACCGAGTGATGAGGATATGGCTAACATTGCATGAATGCACAAACCACCTTTATCATTAATTCCGTAGGCAATCCCAACAAAGTCCGCCATAGTGGCAAATATTCCCGGTACGAAGGTCTTGGAATTGCGATTTCCGTCTGGAAGGAAACGCTCGGTTGGTCGATCGAGTCCAAATTTCCCTCCACAACCTCTCGCTCCGTCTCACTGTCACCATCAGATTCGCTATCTCCAAGATAAATCGGCGAATGGGAGCATGTTCGGAGTACGGCATGGTAGACTAGGAGAGAGGTTAAGGAATGGCTTACTTAAAAGTTGACTTAAGAACTCACGATTGGAACAGACAACTCACAAGCCTCATTAATCACTGAGATTAGATGGCTTTCGCTTTTCAGGATTTCGAGTGTGTCAAAAATACAGTAGGCGATGCCTTCGGTAACACTTTGGGAAAGGCGAGGATAAGATTCAAAGCAGTCAATGATCGCCAATTTCAGAGATCGCCATAACGCCTCCGTCATTTGCAATGAAGAGTGAATTGCCAGTACGTTGGCCATAGCCTCAAGTAAGTCTGGCAGGCAATACGCCTTCGGAGGCATAGGAGCAACTGAAATGTCTTCAACTAAATGGATAATCTCCTTCATCATCCGAGAAAGAATTTGAAATGAGTCGCGAGTAGACCTATGCTTTTCGTAGACCTATCGTTAACGAAAGCACAACTTAAAGATGCTGAATGAAATGACGCACATTTCTTAACGTCATGCCTTACTGGCATCAAGATGCTCAAGCATTTTAGGCGGAAAGACAGTTGGTTTGGTGAAAGAGCATCTCTTGATAGGCGAGTCAGTAGAAAAGTTGTTATACATTCTGGAACGGAGGACAACGAATCACCAGAGGTTGTTTCCATAAGAGAGTGATTTCGATAACACCTCAAAAGTGTGAAGTATGCACTCTGAGCAGCTCTAGCCAGTGCCGAATTTTTGTGGATTACCAGCGTTTGGAGGTAGGACATTGCAAGCTGAAACGTAAAAATACCTATAGTAACTTTGCGTGAAATGACACAAAAATTATGGAAAGTATATCCCATTAAGGTGATAAGACCTTAGAAAATACCATTCCCTTGCTTGTTAAGCGTTACGGAGTAAGCAATTATATAGAGCTGCAAAACGTCTTAAACATACTATAGTTCTGTCCCAATCGTAGACACTGGCACGTTTAGCACAGGACTTCAGAAGTTTACAGGCACTTCTGATGGGATTGTACTGATTAATTTTATCCAAATTTGCCAAAAGAATTTGGATTGCTGCATTGTACAATATTGTCACATCTAGAGAAGGGATTAATGTAGCAGGGTCTTACCATCACATTTAAGTTCATTGCCACTGTAACTTATAATTTTTGATAAACTAGAAAGGACGGCCGATATAACAACAAATTCTGGTTTCTTCGTACTTTGCGTAAGTTGTTTCGAAAGCAAGTTTTTGAGAAAATCAAAGATCTGTACTCGCAAGTGTTCCATTGTTGGTGAATGCGAAACAGCGGTGGATATAGACAGACACAGACTACTAACAACTGACTGAGCCTGTTTAGTCGCCAGTTGATCAAAGAGTTGTTTTGTATACGTTTGAAGAGCGCTTGAACTTAAGTCTTCACTTGTTAAATGGGTGATGACCTAGATTGACAGCTAGATGTCAAAATTATTACCTTTCGAAAAAGACGAAGCCAAGATTCTTTGAGCTTTGCAGACTTTGAGCACATATATCCAGAAAAAGAAGTATCCTACGAGTAAGTAGGGAAGGATGACAAACCAAAAAGTCCTTGTAGAAGTTGAAAATATAATGTGGAAAGGTTAGAAGAATTTTCGTAAGGAAATCACAGAAGTTGTACTTGAAATTCTCGACCTAAAGATCAAAACTATGGAGTGTGCCAACCTCAACAGACTGACCCAACAGAGAAAAAGATTTAAATATGCATGATGACTTGTAGCCCTCAACGAGTGCAGATTCTATGCAGAAAAGTAAGGAAAATAAAGAATTCAGACCAATTATGCTGTGATTAGCCAAGGCCTTTTCCTTCAAGTTCCGCAGAATATGGTTAGCATCTCTGTATTTTCCTTCTTTAACTTGCTGAAAAATATCGGAAACCTCATGCTCTAACTGCATCGAACGACCTTGACAATAACAACAATGAATCAGGCGGGTATAGTTGCGTCAATTATAAAAACGAGAAAAACCATTTCTTTTGTAGGATTGTATAAAAGTAAACATCACTATAAAACGTACAGACCTCTTTAGTTATAGGTTCACAAAGCTCTTCCTGCTCTCCAATCAAAGGTGACTTCTGCGATGGGTGCAAAATGTGCACCTGTTGTCGCACCCTGAGATTGCGCAACACCATAAAAATAATAATATTATAATTATTTGCGTGATTAATTCATGTCTGTCAAATACTTTAGCAATTCTAATCTTGTGCGTATGGTCTGGCCTTCGGGTTAAGTGTAAGTCTAATCCATTTTAACGTCCCAGAATTCATGTTAACAGTTCGAATTAGTGCCTTCTTTAACCATTTAAAAGCACTAAAATGCAACGTAAGTTAATGTGCAAAATTTTTGATTTGTGAGTTAATCTTCTGCCACATTTAGCACTAGGAAATATACTGTCTGAAGCTAAATTTTCTCTGAGTCAAAATATGCGCACTTGCCTGAGCATGAGACGGTCGTAACATTTAATATGAGATCTGCCGGCCTATCCTTAGTCTTCTGTTTAGGATATACGTGCTTACTCCTATGCTCTTTGTAGTGTCCCGGGACTTCCTGACGGGTGGAAGAAGGCAGTAAGTGAAATTGAGTACATTTATTCCGAGGAGAACGAAGCGACAATGCCTGAGCATGGTTTGAAGGTCAGCCTGCACGTACAAGGGCCAGACAAATCCTAAAGTAAATGTCAGACGTCAGGTGGTCACGCAAACGAAGCCTTACACCTTTGAACCAAGGACTTCAAAAGGGGGTTAGTTGCAGTAGATTTATTAGGCAGTTATCATCCAAAGAGGGGTTCACCAAGATCCTCACGCACCGGATTCGCTTCGAAATCACTTCCCGACCCTCCTCTAAAAAGTCAACTTAAACACTAGTATATATTACATGATTCCCGAAATTTATGAGAAGGTAAATTGGCATCATGTATGGAAAACGGAATAAGGAAGTATAAAAAAGGTGCTAGGCTGACATTAACTTTAGGATATCCCTTTGTGTTCTTCACGAACAGATCCGTGTTTAAGATTGCTTAAACGCCAATGCTCTTCAAAGACAACGTAAATGTATTAATGTATATTGCACCCAGTGCCATAACATTTTTAAACAGATTCTTATGAGAAAAAAAGGTTTTAAAAAAAGCTTAACACATATATTTAATAAGATAAGAAGCAATTAGTATTTAGCTGAGATTAGAAGTCACTCCTTTTTACAACAGCGGGATGGATGCCGAAGTGAGCGGTATTCATGCAGGCGGTTGCATAAATAAAGTATCGAAATAACACAATCGGGTTGGTTTTCGTTGTTAAACCTTAAGATCTTCCACCAGGAAGTTTATGGTATTAAAATGGGCAGAACCCATGCATTCTGAGCGAAGAAGAAATAGGGCTTTGGCATGGTCCCAAGACCACCTCAAGCATTCAAGAGCAGAACGTTGCGCTACATCCACTGTAATGCTTTGATTATGTGACTACCTGACGTTTGGCAATCACTTTATGATTCTTCTGGCCCTTGTACACGGGAAGTGGCCTTCGAGCCACGCTTAGGTTCATTTGCCATGTCGTCTTCAGAATGCATGTATCCAGCTGCAATTACTGACTTCTTATATCGGTTAGGAAGTCTCAGGACACTACATCCGCTGCCGCAAAGTAAAAAATCTAAGTTCTTTTAGGACTAAAAACACATTGTTAGGGAACAGCAAAAGGAATTAGGATGTAGCCAAGCCCAAAGACCAGCTCACACGAACAAGTGTACGACAGATCATATAATCGTAATAAGCGATTATATTGTCGATTTCGCATCTATTTGCAATCGTTAGTGTAGTGATATGTTTATGTAATCACCTGATGCTTGGTGGTCACTTTAAGATTTCTCTGGCCCTTGTGCGTGGGGAATGAATTTTGTCCATGCTCAGGCCAAGTCGCTTCGTTCTCTTTGGAATACATGTATCCAGTCCAACTTACTGCCTTCTTCCGCCTAACGGGAAGTCTTACGATGCTATAGTTAGACCCTAACGAACATGCGCTACTTGTCGTTAGTTGACCCATTCCCCGTGAAAGTTGTGCAATGACATTTCTTTGTTTGGTTGGCTATTTGACTCAATCAGTTGTATATGCGCAATCATACTTATTTCGCGTGTTATTTTAAATTAACATATTTGTTACAGTAACCTACTAAAATGCATCATGCAAGTCGACGTGATTTGATTGTTTGAATCCTCATCTAGGGAGACGCAAACTTTGATTTGGCGGTCCAGATGTCATCTTATTTTGGGAATGGATGATTGCGAGCTTGATCTACTCGTCAAAGAACTTGAATCCGACCAAACTGAGCTTTTTAAGTATATTGATAGGGAAGTTGAGAAGAAAACAACAACCTATCCTGTTGAGGACTATGAAAGGATTACCAAAGTTGGCCAGGGCACTTTTGGTGAAGTTTTTAAAGTTCAGCATAAAACCACTAAAGAGATCTTCGCACTTAAACGTTTGAGAACAGAAAAGGAAACTGAGGGGGTATTGTTTTGCTTGGCTTGTGCAATTCGTTTCCTTTCAGTTCCCAGTTACTGCATTACGAGAAGTGATCATTCTGCAAATGCTGCGACATGAGAATATTGTTCGTCTCCATGGCATTTGTCACAGACGCAGTATGCTTCTCACTAAGATATAATGAAGTTTTAGGCCTTAATGCAAACGGTTCTAGATACGAGTTTTACTTGCTTTTTGAATTCTGTGATCATGATCTCGCCGGACTTCTTAGCCAAAAAGTCGACATAAATTTATCAGTAAAGAAGGGCATTGCGAAACAGTTACTTACCGGAATTAAATTCCTTCATGAGTATGACCGTTGCTTGCATGTTTCTTGTAGTGGTTGCTTATGCATCTGCTAGGTGCTTTGTTCTTCTATTTCAGTAACAATGTTCTACATCGTGATCTAAAGGCCTCAAACATATTGATTGACCGTAGTGGACACCTCAAAATCGCAGATTTTGGTCTTGCTCGTGTTACTGTGACACCCTGGCGACAGGACAAGCGTCCACAGTACACAGCAATGGTCGTCACACTTTGGTATCGCCCTCCAGAGATTCTTCTGATGGATCGTAACTACGGCAAACCGGTTGATCTATGGGGCGCTGGCTGTATTATCGCCGAATTGTGGACACGCTGTCCTTTGATGCAAGGCGAGAATGAGTTAAGTCAGCTTAAGCTTATAATTAATCTCTGCGGCTCTATTACTCCAGCCGTCTGGCCTGGCGTAGAGCATTTAGAAAGCTACAAGAAGACTAAACTACCCATGGACACACGACGAACTCTACGAGATCGACTCGTTTCTATCCCTGTCCCATCCGCCATTGACCTAATCGATCGCCTCCTTGTCTGCAATCCCTCCCGTCGTCTTACTGCTGAGCAGGCTCTGACTCATGAATTCTTCCAGGAAGATCCACCGCCAGGAGACCTCTCCTGCCTTTCCCAGAACGGAGTTTCCTTTCTTGAATATATTACTAACAATCGAGCTCGACAGCAGCAACACCAGCAGCAATATCGGGGAGGACAATACAGAGGTGGTCCGGGTTATAGGGGTCGTGGGGGCATACCAGCAGCGGGTGCGGCACAAAATCAGGTGGAGAGCAGTATGAGCTTTGATCGTGTTTACTAAGGATATCAACCTGTTTCCTTTTTATGTAAATAGAACTTTTCTTTTTGTATTACCTGGTGGCTAACTGCTAGCGTATTTTTCTGGTGATGGTTTTGTAATTTTGCTCCAATGGAAGAGTCAAATCCTCAAATTCCGTTCTTGATGTAAATTTGAGGTGCTTTGATTAGTTTATTTACTTCATTTATTTGCCTTTACGCCACATTGAATTGTTGAAGTTATTGATTCTTCGGATTCCAAATAGTATGCTAGTTTGTCCTGAAAGTGAACGGCGGGCTTCATTCTAGGGCTTCCGGTTAACTCCAAATCGTATCACCCTTCTCCTATGCTCTCTAGAATGCTCTGTCATCGACTTTCGAGCTGATACGTTGCTATTGTCATTTTTCGAAATCAGGTTAACTTAGTATTTTTTATAGTTGCCATCGACAAGTTTTTGTCCGGTGAATAACACCTGTGTAAAAAAATCAAGATACTTTTCTTTTCTAACTCCTTTTAGTAAAGAAAAGCAGGTGTCTGATTACGAGATTGAAGTACCAGTTTCTTTCCAGGGATGGCAAAGGTGTTGTGTGAATAGTGGCGTTCACAAGCGAGAGTTTGAGTGTAGAAATAACTGACAAATTAAGGTTGGGCAATTTTCTTCGCGCCTTTCCAAAGGAAATTATTGAGTTATTTAAGGTTCAGTCGTTAGACCTTCCGACACCTCTTGGTGTGTTCTGTCCCCCAAATGCAAGAATGGTAATGGGGTATGGCTTAATCCCGATCAACCAAATTTGGTTAACTGGATAACTGGTATCTGGTGCACTTTAAATCCAATTTAGGAATTAAATTTATATAATGTGGTTTGAATTCTTATTATGGAATGCCATTTCAATTCAAGCAGCCAGTGATTCATCTGAAATGGTCTTAAAAATATCTAAGAGGAGCTTGTGATGAACTTAAGATGGGTGAAGTAATCCTCGTTCATTTATTTGGGGGTGAAAAAATGCATTTGCGTTGAAAGTTTAGTCTTGAGTTAACGTTTACAGACACCAATCTGTCATAGCGTCCTACTGTTTACGCTCCCGTTAGGTAGTGAGGGTCGCGTCGTGCGCTTTGCTTTCCTTATATGTTCGCAGACTTCAATGAGTACTCTGGATCCAGACCGTCTTCTCGTATGCAGGTCACTCCCTCCCATAACTCGGAGTTCTATCTCGTCTGATCGACTGCTTTGCCGGGAGGTCGTGGTATGAACATCAATACTTAAGACTTTCAAATACATCTACAGCTGGGATTGCTGCAAATGGTGTGTGTATGTGTATGGTCATCCTTGTTGCATTATCGGGGCTGGCAGTGGTTTTTCTTGATTTTAATTTACCTGACTGGCCTTTTGAGTTACCGCAGTTCCTTCCACTAAGGTGATGTCACGGTCATTCGCCCTTGCCTTCATCTTCTCGGCCTCTTCGTTTATCTCATATTTGAATCTCTATTGCTCTTCGCTAACAACGAGTATAGAAAATCGGAAATAACATCTCACATGACTTTTTAGTCAAACTTGGAACGCATTGCTTCAGGTCGACGTCTTAGGGGCATTGAAAACCTTAGTCGGGCAGTTCTTTCGTCGCGACCAATAGTTGAAAGAACAATGAACAGACACATTGATAAACGAGGAATAGATGGTCGTGAAGTCCATTTACGGTTTTCGTCTGGATACTGCAGTCAACAAACTTTGCTGCACAAACGCCAACTTTCTGTGAGTTAGCAAAGTTTGTAGTGAAGAGGCTTCGGCAGGTGACAATGCCGATCAACCACATTAATCTGCTGAGCTCACAATGTCATGCCACAAGTTTAGGTGAGACTTCACTTTTATCGTCATGCCTTCTACCAAAACCAGGCAACTTAAAAGGGTATTTATGAGCTTCTCATCTTGATTTGTGTAGATTTCTGTTGCATATGGGGCAATGATTGTGTAAAGAGGAGAAGAAGGTAATCATAGAAAAGAAGACCTGGTTATTGAACTTTCTAGCATCTCCTTACAGGAGTTATCCTCTTACCCATAAAGATGGCGACTTCACAGCAGCTTTTCTGTTACTGTAGATCATGGTAGGTTCTATACGGAGTATCCTATTCACAATCTCAAGAAGCCCTGGAAACAGTTCAGATAACTTCTACTCACACCTTTTGCACACCGCCAACAGTGGAATGAAGGAAATTATCATGTCACTGGTAAGGCGTATGGATACTTTCATGTGGAAAGGAAGAAGGAAGGAAGGAAGAACAGGTATCGCGAGAAATATGGTAGGCTTGACCGATCTACTAACCCATAGGAAGCATGTCACTACCTGGTAGGAAAGTGGAAGGCTAGATGTGTCATACACAAGAAAGTAAACTCGAGAGTGCTACTTGGTCTCCATATCGTGATACTGGTGGAAGGGTGGGAGCGGTGTGCTCCAAGATTTCCAGGAGATGGCTTTCGGACTTATCATTGGAGCAATCTCTTTTCAATTTCTTGCGCAAACGGTTTTGATCGCACTATTCATTTACGTACTGAAACAACTTGCCTAAACGACAAATAGTTTTCTCGAGCTTAATAGCCCATCACATTAACTCACGGGAAGAACTTCAAGGGAAAGAGGGCTGTAGATCGTTTAAAAATTGAAACCATTGTAGAACGCTGAGACTAGCGAAACAGTTGTGGGTGCTAAACTCTCATAGAAGGTTGACAAAAATTAAGAAACTATCCAGTTTCAAAGCCAGTAAAAAGTGTGATACAAACTTTTGACTGAAGTGTGTTGTCAAAGG